TGGTTTTGATTGTATCTTCCAAAACCGGAATGTCTCTTGTATATAATACATATAATAAAGGTCCCAGAGCGCTGCACCGTGGAACACCTGCTTCAAAAACGCGAAAATTAGAATAATCAGTACCAATTTTTGTGCGAAATTGTCTGTTCTGTAGATACGACTGGAAAACATGATGGTATTCGGGCAACAAATTATTAATTTTCGTTAGGAGTCCTTCATGCCACACTTTATCGAAGGCTTGCTTGACGTCTAGAAACGCTGCAGTACAGTATTCCTTTTTTCCAAACCGCATAAAAATCAAATTCAAAAGAAGGTTCAAAGAAGTTCCGCATAAAATGTCAAATTCAATAGAAGTTTAACTAAAGTGACAGATATTGCAAATTAAAATTCGTTTGATGTAATATGTATAAGCACAATAATTCATATAACATTAAAATCGATTTAATTATTCATGATAAGCAGGGCCGGATTTAGAAATTTGGCGCCCCGGGGCACTGACAAAAATGCCGCCCCATCTCTGAAATTTTACGAACTTTCGAACTTTTTTTTAAAGCAATCGCGCTGCTTCAGCTGCGTAGGGACAAGATATAGAAGCGCGTAAGCGCCGCGTCGCAGTCTAACAAATAAACAATGTTACATAACGCATATAAATGTAAACAAAATTTATGCTTATATAATATTTTTAAAATATCTGATAATTTCTCTTATCTGAAAAAGCAGTTATTTATTCTGCAAATTTTTTTGGATGATATTGGACGCTTTTTTTCTCAAAAACTGAATTATCATTTTTGGCATTTTGGCCCGTATCTTCAAAACAGTTGGACCTGTCTTGACCTATAACTAATCAGCACGTCTCCTTATCAATAGGAATTGAATCATTTAAATCGGTTGATCCGTGTTCTCAAAATCGACTTGAATAATTAAAAAATATTATATTTGCATTGATGGGGAGACGTGCTGATTAGCTTCTGGCACAGGCAATTACGAAAAATGGTAATTGAGTTTCGATATTTCTTCTCTGAAACAGCTACGCAACACGATTGCTTTGCAAAAAGTTCATAATTTTCAAAAAATTTCAAAATACAAAAAATGTGTTTCAAAAGACTTTTTTTTTATTTTTCAAAAAATTTTAAAGCTCTATATAAAATGTAATTTTCAGTACCATATGTTTCACTAGTTTATATTTTTTTTCGACACTATAAGCTTGGAAGAGCACAAATTCGTCATTTTAAGAGGGCTCGAGAACTGAGGAACATATTTTTCTTAAACTTTCAGCTTGTTTACGGATCTTTATATTAGCCAAATTGCCAAATTTAATAACTTAAGTTATTAATTTATTTTAATATTTGATAATTTACGTTCGGAGAGGGAGGCAAGGCAAAATAATAAATTTTAGTTATCGATTATTTCAAACCCAAATTTTGCATTGCAATCGTATTATGTTTTGTTAATTATATTTCTTGAAATAAAAAATGTTAAAAAAAGCTGATTATATTGTATAGAATTTTCTTCTCGCTATCTAAATTTTGCCGCCCCCCAAAATTTGGGCAGTAGCCCCGATTGCCCCTACTGTAAATCCAGCACTGATGATAAGCATTGTAGAGATTTGTGCTTTTTATTTATGATTATTTATAGCTGACTTTCCGTCCATTTATGGTTGTCATATAAATTAAAAATTTAAATCTATTCAAAATCAATAGAATCTCTCCAAATCTCTTCGTGGCTAAAATTGCCTTCAATATTGCGGTTGTGCTTTTTATGGAGTGCATACCAATATTGCTAAGTAAACAGAACTACATAATACTTTAAAGTGGAAATTTGCTGTCGAAAGGCTTAATTGAAGATATAAAACTACGCGTTATATAAATATTCATGTTGTGCCAAGTGTTCGAATATTTTATTCGCAAAAACGGCGTACATTCAATATCATTAATAATAGGAATAATGTTGAATAAATATTTTAATTGATTTATTTTGTCTACACGCTTAAATTAAAATATTATTGTAGTTACATGGTACCATATAACTAATAAAAAAAATATTAGATATTTTTTTATATAATAAGCTTTAATTTAGATTATTATTTAATATATATGAATTTTAAAACAAAGTAGGTCAACAGATATTTAAAAATTGATATAAAAATGAACAAATTTGAGAATCATTCAAGAAATTTTAGAACGATTAAAGATGCAATATTGCTACAAATATGAACAGATAGAAAATGTAGTAATTTACCAAAAGCCAAAAGCACTAGCAATTAGATGTTAACCAAGTTTTCTTCGATTTTTCAGCTCGTGTTTGCTCTCTATTTCAAAATAGAAAATAATCTTTATTTACTGGTATGCAATATTATTTATGATATGATATTTTTTGAAAACATTTAATATTTTTCGAATATGTCATACAGCTAAGATACAGGAAGTTCCAGTAATTTGCCTTAAGGTATGACGCCATACAACACTAGTTTCAGTTTTTTTTCGTTATAACTACATCAGGTTATTAATTTTTCATTATGATATTATTAAATTGTTGCATACAGATTTTTTTATTTTTTTCAACTCTCTATATTTAACTTAAAATTAATTTGACAGATATTTGTATCTAAAAGATGATTTGCATATATATTTTTTATCCTTCTTGAGCTTTCCACTGATTTAGACTAAACAATCATATTATTCATAAACAAACCATGAAATAAAAAAGCACATCGATTGCCTTATGTTGCTGTAATTATAATTATATAATAAATTGATTTAATAGTAATTATTCGATTTAATATTTATTTTTGCTAATTAATATTTATCATAAATTTGATTTATCAAGATAATGTTTGCCTTAATTAGAATAAGCATCGTCGATTAAATTAGTTCAAGTGGCAGAAAAAATCATCGTGAATATTAATTGAATGCGACCTATTGGCCTCTTATCTGTTTTCAAGAATTCTTATGAGATGGACAGATTATATAGTAAAAAATACAGTTAAGTGCATTCGTTCAACACTAGAGTGGTTGAATTGAAATTTCGTTCAAAACTAGTATTAACTTCCCGTAGGGTAATTTTTCAAAGTACTGAAAAATGTTAACACATTATCAAACATTTCTTTGGTGAAATTAGTTAAATAGAAGAAAGCTTGGAATATCATTAGCATCATTATCATTTTCTATACCATAAGTAGGATGTTGGTTTCTATCGCGACTATGTATTAGGCTGGCATCTAAGTAAGTCCGGCTTTCACCCTTAGATGGTTTCAATTGTAAAATACCATTTGTTATTGGATGTATAGGCAATTCAGCTGTCAACATGAAAAAAAATTTTTTTTGATGATTGTGTAGTTTTTGTTTGGCGGATTTTTAAAGATGGAAAATGAAATCGAATTTGTTTGTCATATTTTGCTCATTAATTACTGAATCCTTAAAAACAGTGTTGTTTTAATTGAATATGAAAAACGTTATGATCGTCCCTGTTCAAGTTGACTAAGAAGGAATCGTCTCCTTTAACTGTTATTACAACCGACCGATCAATTCTGATGTCATTAAACAACTATCAAAATTGAACAATGCAGTTGAAAAAAAAAACATTATTGACATCACATATTTTTGGCCACTCGGCAAAAATTATTGAAGCTTGGTTGGGATGCTTTGCCACATCCACCATATAGTCCTGACTCTGACCTTACGCCATCTGATTACTTTTAGTTTTGATCTTTACAAAACTTCTTGAATTAAAAAAAATAATGGTGTCAAAATGCCTGATTAAGTTTTTTACTAATAAAAGCCAGGAATTTCATGATAGTGATATAATACTGCTGCTTGAAAGATGACAAAAAATATAATAAAAATGGACAATGCATTTCAGAATAAAGTTATTTAGTTTCATAAAAAATATATTTGATTTTCTAACAAAAATCCGCTCTTACCTAGTTGCTAACCTGATAATTGCTGATACTTACAATAAATTCTTTATTCACATAATTAATTCATTTAACTGAAATAAACAGAAAACTTGTTCTTAATAACAACACTTGTTCAATCATAATTAAAAAAATAAGATACATGTATGTGAATGGTAATTGACTGGCTGAAATGCATAATTTTAATTACAATGTTAAATTGTTAAATAAATAGATATTAAACGATCACCGTGGCGGATGCTTAAATATAAATGGACGACATTCGTTCGAGAACGTTAGAGATCAATAAAAAGTTGTGATATATTTTTAATATTTAAGACATTAATTTAATATTATACTAGTGCCACCACTAAAGAGATGAACTTTCGGTTGCTTTGCTGAAGGATCAGGGATAAAATTCTAGTTGCCGCAAAAATAACAATTGTTGAAAGCCGTTAGTTCCGGTGTATTTTTAATATCTTTCTAATTTCTTTTATCAATAACAATCACAACATTAACTACATTTTATAAGTTATTTTGATTCACATTATTATAAATGTAATTATAGATAGTAGTTAAGCGAGTGGGTAATTACTATTAGATACATATTACTGGATCAAATTAGTAGGCTATAATTATTTATGTCCTTTTAAAAAACATAGCAGCAGAGCAACGAGTGAATTGGAGTGTTTTTCTAATTTGTGATTATGATCATTAAAAAGTCTTTGATATATAGCACATTAAGATCATCGCGCAGATTTAAATTGGTAACGTACCAGGGTGCATATGTCATCATTCTAAGTAGTTTTCATTGTTGGTTGTTGGCTGTTGTACTAATATTACGTTAGATTTGCTAGAGTCCAAAAGCTCTATTCATATTATTTTATTTTAGGTGCCATTTTTGAATTATGTCCAATAATTCTATAAAGTTCTCTTACTCTGGGTTTGATAGATTTAATTTTTGTCTGGATTTAATATGTATTTTTTTAGTAGGTACAGAATAATTTCATACTACTTCTTTGAAAATAATAAAAGTAATGTATATATTTTTGTTTTATAATATAATGTCCGAACGAACTTCACTTAACGTACATTTTATTTTTGATAGGTTAATCGCGACTGTTGGTATCTATACACATTAGATCATGGTTTGCAAGACAAACTTGGTCTTCAGGATACCAACGATAGGTCTATCGGCTGGAACGGCTGCTGGAAGCCGAAATCCATCGATGTGGACCCAGATCAAACAATTGAGATCCTCATGACTGAATTGGACCCGAAAGTCATGTCTATTTTCACAAAGGAATCTTGCACAACCGCCGCTGAGGCTACTGAGGTCAGATTAGTTTTATAGCAATAATTTATATTATTTGACGTCGTTTACACTTAAATTATATACAATAGAATCTCACCAATCCTGCTTTATTAAAAACCAGAAGGTGCCGGATTATTTGAATGTACGGATTATTGGATTATAGAGAAAAAGTAATAATTTTTAGTATATGATTTTAGAAATAGCGAAAAAATTTCAGCCAATGTTCATAAAATTGTTCAGAGCTTCGGTCGCCGGGGGTGTTCGATTATTGGAGGTGTCGGTATATCGAAGGTGCTGTATTAGATTGAGATTCTACTGTATATAAAAAATATTGCGAATATATTATATCTATTTTTATTAGAATGCTACATTCGAAGATGTAAATGTTTCATGGCAATTTAAGGGGGTATTCTAGTGTAGAGCAATGAATTTTAAGTCATTTTTAAAGTGTAGTAAAAGAAAGTGTGAAATGAATGTTTTACTATCCATTTTTTTACCACTTGTTTATTAATATTATTAAAATTCAAAACAAAGATTAAAAAAAAAGTTGAAAATTGAAAAAAACTGGCAGTTGATGAAGTGGGGGTCTCCAAAAATTGGCACCTCAGTCTTGCCATAATTTCAGCCCTCCTATAACCATCCGAAATAAAAGAAATAAAAATATCATTAATCTACAATGATGTCGCAATCGCGCGAACTAGCGATGAGTAAAAATTATTTTTTTTGCAAATTGCGACTGCTTGAAAAAAAGTGTCCTTTTTTAAACTGTATTTTGAGTTTCTCGAATTTTTTAAAAATAGTAAAAATTGGAATTTGGGGATAATCCTAATTCGGGCTACAGATAGAGTCTATAAACAAGACTCTCTGAACTTTTCAAGAGAATCGGTCAAGTAGAACTCGAGAAATTGTGGCAACAGTACTGAAAAAGTCTGTTCTGTGAAAAACGCATTTAAAGTTTTGCGTGAAGTTTTTTGCTGTCAAAGTCATAAAATATGTTATATTAGGTTGTCAAATATCTCCCTTCCGCTTTTTTGCTCTTCGTTTATAATACAAAAAGGCGGAAGGGAGATATTTGACAACCTATTACTTTTTTATTTAATCTGCCATTTCTACTTCATGCATCGGACCTTCTTCTACTTCAAAAAAACTATTTTCTGCATTTCTCTCTTCCAATCGAGCAGTTCTAGCAGTTCTAGTCTCCTTTGAAGCGTTGGATGTACGTATTTCAGATCGTTCAATCCGGGAGTTGCCTCGTCTTACAGCAAATGAATGAGTTTCTGGCCTAATTGCTTTACCATAAGGGTCATCATTTTTAAAATCGGAAAGAAACCTTCTTTGAATACGCAAACAGCAATAAATGTTGCTATTTCAATTACCCTAGATCGGGAATGAATGTTTCGGCGCGAAAATCCAAATCAACAAGTTTAGAGACTAATTATTGTTCCGAGTTTCTGAACCTAAACATCGAATTAATAATTCATTTGACGATAAACTGTCATAAATGGGCCTAATGACTTGCTAATTCCATTTGACCGATTAGACCCCGCCAAACCAGTTTGGTGACAGGGTTAGTAAAATGTCTATATCTCCGAAAATAATTCATTTTTTTCAAAAATCTTCTCGTACCCATATTCCTACAAAAATAATCGATTTTTTTGAAATTCTACACTAGAATACCCCCTTTATTTATTCTTTATAAATTATTCAATATAGTATTATAGTAGTAGTTTTTTGACAAGGCTTTAATAAACTTTTAAAAAATTTTGTGTTATTTTATATGAGCGTAGTCTAAATCTAAGACCCAAGTTATAACTTAATAAAGTATACGTTAATATATTAATATTATGGGAAAGCATAACAACTAAGCTTGTAATGAAATATTTAACAAATTTATAGCCTAATATTTGATTATGAAAAAGTATACAAACACGTGTTCTTACAAGTCATATATGCTAGTTATGCATGATACAAAAAATCTAAACTTTCTCAAATATTAGCTAATAATATTTATTTCTTATGTAATTGTGAAAACAGTTTTCTATTATCGATTTGTAAATATTTTTATCGAACTATTATTTATCAAATGTATAATTTCATCAGTTGAAATTATCAGTCTACATTTTTGTAATCTCTCGTTTGTGTTAAACAGTTTCGAAAGATTGAACTTCAGAACCGTTTGATATTGACTTTAGCCCGATCAATTAATATATTTATATTTATAATTATTTTAAATAGAGATGTTATCAAAATCAAATAACATTTAGTATTTATTGATTGACCTTTCTTCTAATGACAAATATTTCCGACTGAGAATGAAAAGAGTGCGTTATCTACTTTTACGCGTATTAGATTGACATTATGCAATTGGTTTTATTAAATAAATATTTGATTAATTTATAGATTTTATAATTAACCTCTCAATCTACGGTCAATTACAAAAACTTAAATTAGAGTTGTTTTGTTTAAATTATAATTAATGAAATATCACTTTTACAATTATTTGTATTGAAGTAATTCAAAATTTTATTACTTTCTGATCTAGTTTTTTTTATTACAGAAATCGGGGATTCATAAGATTTTACCGAATATGGTGATCGACGATTTTCTCTTTGAGCCTTGCGGCTACTCTATGAATGGTATTGCTAAAAGTGTAAGTAAATATTTATAATATAGTATTTTTTATACTTATACTTCTTATCTAAATATGCCTTTATTACATTATATTACTTATTCTGCTGCGTAGAACGGAGCAGATATTTCTGAAGTAAGTACAATTTTAGTATAAAACGAATTATTTGATGGCATGGAATAAGTGTGTCGAGCCCGAAGACAGTTTTGAACTATTTATTTTTCAAAGTCAATGTTAAAGAATTATCAAAACAAATCACGAATTTATTAATTTTGCTTCTTACGAACGAAACATCGCTCATTATCAGCCAACGTACCCTACGCTTTGACACTCTTGTTATGAATGAATAATTAAAAAATTAAATTATTTAACAGTTACTTTGAAAAACTGCCTTTGTTATTAAAAACATAATTAACTGATGATTATATTCAATTATAGCTGCCTCCACAGAACTCAATTATTGCAGCAAAAATCGGCATCGAAAGATTTGTATATATTACTAATTTCCTTCCCTCATATAATATCTTCGTGCAATTTATTAATGATAGTTTTTAAATATTATGTTTTTTTTAATTATTTAGGGATATTATATGACGATTCATATCACGCCAGAAGAAGAATTCTCTTACGTTTCATTCGAAAGCAATGTTTCTGCTGCAAATTACGCTGAAATAATTAGTCGCGTAATCGATACCTTCAGACCTGGAAAGTTTGTGGTGACCATCTTTGCTAATAAGGTGAGTTCTTAATACAATTGAATGAATTTATGATTAAATTAAGGGAGTATTCTGGTCTGAGATTAAACAAAATCGTTTTTGTTTTTTTTTCGCATATTTTCAAAGTTATTTTCGGATTTATAGCTGTTTGACTACGAGGATTCTTCTCGTTTCAATCGGATATCCACGATTTCCCAATCCCTACGGCACTTTTTTTCAGCATGAACTATCTCATCTCTAAATTTTGATTTTTCCAATTATTTAAAAATTCGAGAATATAAAAAAAAGTTGTAGAAGAATTATTTTGCTCTCAGACAGTCGCTATTTTGTTAAAAAACGTTTTTTTAATATGTCCGTAGTTCATACGATAGCGACATCAATATAGTAAAAATTTTGTTTGCTCTTTCATACGATTATACAAAGATCACATTCAAATTCTTGACCAGAATATCCCCTTAGTTTGTTAATTGTAAGTTGATACTTTGAAAAGTTTAGATTATCATAATTCCTCCTGTAATTTCTGCTCCATTGTATTTTTACTTTGATTTAGCATTTTAATCTAAAAATGATTTTTTTTCAATATATTAACATTCAATTGTATACTGTTTTCAGAATTCTGCTGCCTCTGGCGCCCCCCGCGAGTTGGAGAAGGTGAGTTCTTTCGGTGACTGGGTGAGACGTGACTCTCATTTCTGTCGCTTCGCGCGTTACGATTTCACCTACGCGCTGTTCTCTAAATTCCCGAGCTGAGGGTCGTGGTGTCCGCCCCAATGGAGGGCCAACGCGCGGGTTGTGTACCGCGATTTTTCCCACACCTTTCCCCAATCCCTATCTCATTCATTCCCTTACCATGACCGCAATAAATATATGGTCTTTCACAATTCGGCAGACTTCGAGAGACAGCGCTTCCATGACCACTATTTGTTTTATCGGTATATCCTGTTATCATTAAAACCATTTCGTCGCGTGTACGACGATGTGCTCGTAGACGCGCCGAAATCACTTACTAACTTCCATCAAAATTCATTAAACAATTATTTAGAATCTAAGCACTTCCCAATTATAAGAGCCAGTTATTATGGCGTATACTACAACATTCTATTTTTAAATTATCATTCTCGTATTCAAATACTGTGGGCTTACATCGTAAAGCATTTGCTGCAGCTCATAGAAGTGTACATTTATAGCGTCGTCATTTGCTCACCACTGGTCATGTTCTCGTGGTGGCGCAACAAAATATCATGAGATTTGCGTGCCGAAACAAACCTTGATTGTTGGTAGCGGGTAGTTCTGTTGGCTATTAATTTTTCAAACTTTATAATTTCCTATGAGGGTGATTGTAAAGATACAAAAATGAGGTTTAGTAATAACAAGCAAAGCAATTTGCCAATAATTTCACCAAGTAGGTGATGTTTGTTGCAATCATTTTATATATAAATTGCAATGAAATAAGAAGAGTCAAATTGCAAATTATTATATAGACCGCATTTAACATGAATAGTGATCTGACATCAAGGTTTGTAAATTTATAAGAATTTTAGCCTTTTTAGGCTAACGCTCCTTAGAGCTAATCTTTAAAGCGCTATTACAAGAGTTCCTTTTTACTTGCAATTTCAATTGAAAATAACATCTTATGGAATATAACATTCCTCAAGTGATATAGATTACTACTTTTGTATTAAAAAAGAAAATGAGTTATTTGTTTGTTCTATTTCTTTTTTATTATAAGTAAAATCACTTAGTGCAAGTGGTTTAAGTTTAATGAACTTTATTCCTGTTATATTTCAAATATATATCAAATTAAATTTAATATTACATAGTACAACTTATTGAATCTGAAATTTATATAAATGTTTGCATAATGAAATATTACTGTGTAACTTGAATTTAATTTCTTGAAATTTAAACTTACCGAGTCCTGTCAATCGATTTAGAATTGCCATGGCTCTGTAAGACATGCTCATAAAATCTTATATGTTATTAAATATAAATATAAATTAACTTAGATGTGAATTTTAAACAAAGAAAATATTTGTTTCTATAAATTGTTAAAAATTCTGAAAATGTTAATTTTAAATTTTGATCTTCACACATATTTGATGTAATTTTAGTATCGAAAAATTGTAGTCATATCTAAATTTTGGATATTGTATCTCAACAGGAAATATAGAAATAAAATTATATATGAAAAAATGCAACTATGCTTTTATTATGTTTCATATTCAAAATCATACATTCTTTGAATGTAGCTCATATCAAACATTCTGTTTGGCTTAAGAGTTGGAGCGTTGTAAAAAGTGACTTGCGGAGCAATAAAATTTGGCTCTTCATCTCCTACAAAGTTTTCAATGTCCAGCACTGGGTCATGTTTATGTTTTGTGAAAGGTGCAGGTTTTGAAGATGTAGGAATATTGTACTCATTTGTTAGACAAGAATTGCTGATATTTAAAGATACCAAATCTTTATATAAGTGTGCCTCGACAGGAAAATTTAGTTTCTTGGTGACCTATTAAATAAAATTCAATCTGAGTAATTTAATTGTTTGTCTTATGGAAAACTTTGTAATAGCTGCATAAATATTCACAGTTTTGATAAACATTTATAGTCAACCCTCCGTCAGCATGGCACTGTTCGAACGCATTTCCCCTACTACTAAAAATGCTACATCGCTCCACTAACACGGACATCCTATTACAAGGTCTTCGTTTAACAGGCCATAAGTTCTTTGCGCAACCTATGAATAACTCTACTAACTAGATATTAAAGGGTGTTAATATAATTTGTTGTTAACATACCAGATTATATCCTAGACAATATAATAATTATATCATGGGCTATATTATAGTATTGTCCTGTCGTGCCAGAACACATTCCATAGCAAATTTTACTTACTTAAGTGTTACTAAACAAATGTTTTGATCTGTCATCGTGTTGAAAAAAAGTAGGGAAGAATTAAAAAGAATGTGTATATCTGTTGAAGATAAAAATCAAATTATAACTCAGAAAGTAGAGATAAATTATCATTTTTTGCAACATCAAGGTATTTGAATTATTGTACAATTTGAACATTAAAATAAATTACCCTACGGGAAGTTAATAATTACAAATGAAAATAAATCTGTCCCCAGGAAACATGAGAAAACCATCCATAAAATAAACTTATGAAGGCATGAAAACGTTTGAAGTGACTACCTCGTTGAAGTAATTTTTAAATAGTGTACTATACTGTCTATGATATTTTGTCCATACATGTCATTTTGTCCATATTACCCTTACTACTAGTTGTATTAGTTGTATTGTATTCCTTGGTTTCCACATAACGATAAAAATGATGCAGTTCCCATACAACGTGATAGCAAGTTTCCATAGATCACAGTACAAATTAGCCTGGATTGTATGTTAAATGTGAATTTTTATACAGGCAACGGAAGGTTGACTATAAATGATTTTCCCAAAGGTATTTTTATTTAATACAATTAAACAAAATCATATAATATATATCTGTATATTATCAGTACGACTTACATCAACATCCGTTTCTGCTAAAAGTTTTTCTTTATTAGATTTTGATAAACATGGATCTTTGTTTTGTTTAGCTTTAACATTTTCAAAGATAGCTAAAGTGGAATTTAATACTGGTTTGTTTAAATAATTTGATGGCGAAGTTGAAATTATTGGTTCTCTTGTAGCTTTTCTATAGGCATCTTCTAATTGTTGCATATTAGACTCACTGACAAAATCGTAGTCTCGTTTTACATTTGATTTATCTTTTGTCACTTTCTGTTCACAGTTTCTTACTAATACTTTTTTGCAAGACTTAGAATTCATTGTTGAATGTTTCTTGTAGTTGACAAATAATTAAAATTGTATGTGAAATAAATGATTTCAACCTAATACATTTTTAGTTTCAAATTCAACTTCACAAATAACGACAGTAACATAACCTAACAAACTTGACATTTCATTCACAGTACAGTGTTACCAGAGCACAAAAAATTTAACGTTCAGTAGCAGTCAGTACGAACGCGTTAACTTTTACGTTTAGTACGAAAAGGTATTTCTATAAGTAGTTATTTTGTTTGTCTCAACTCTTCATTGTCAAATCAAACTAGCTGTAAGTGGAATTCTGTCTTAAGGCAATTGAGGCATCGTGCCTTAAGGCAAATTGCTGGAACTTTCCGTACCAACAATTATTATTTTTTTAAAAACTATTAACTTTTTTGAAAAAAATTTACTTCGAAAAAATTAGATTTTTGAGAAACTATAAATTTGACAAAAATTTACTTTTTTTTTTAAAAAAAATTTTTTTGAAAAGAAAAATGTTTTCTTCATTTTGACATATTTTGGAAATTCTGAACTTTTTTTCAAAGCGTACTGCTTGAACTGCATAGAGACGTAATGTCAAAGCGCGCGCAAGTGCCGCGCCGCCGTCTGACGCATAAGCATTGGTACGGAACCCATAGAAATGTAAAAAAAATATACTTATTGTTAAGATCTCTATAAAATAATTTGATGTGCATATGTCTAATGATCATTTTTAACCGCCGAATGGCATTTTTTTTACTTTTTTCATTAGATCTCCGAAACCGCTAGAGCCTTCATGAAAATTTGATCAATTTTTCATCTTGTCAATACAATTGAAATGTTTTTTGAATTATTCAAATCGGACGCTCCGTTCTCTTAAAAACTGAGTTACCGTTTTCGGCACTTTTTGCCCCGTATCTTCGAAACGGCTAAACCTGCCTCTGCCAAAAACTAACCAGCACGTCTCCTTATCAATACGAATCGAATGTTTTTTGAATTATTCAAATCGGTTGATCCGTGTTCCCGAAATCGTCGACGAAAATTTGTACCCGCACACACATACATACACGCACACACATACACACACACACCTACTCACACACACACACACACACATACATCCATTTTTTCTAAGGTATGCCAAAATATTCAGAAATCTCTAAAACGTAAAGATATATAAAAATTTTCATTTTCGATTTTTTTGCGATTACTATAACTTGCTCTACGGGAAGTTAATTAAGGAGTTAAATAAAATTGTATAGAAAGATTGTTCTAGTTACAAAACGTTTGGCTAATAGTTACAAAACGTTTGGCTAACTTTTGCTATGAGTGATATAGATAATAGTAAAGACTGTGGTGGTATAATTTCTATGAAATCAAAAGTGTTTAATCAATTTTGATCTTTTATAGACTTTGGAAATTATATATACTTACACTGCAATATCATGTTTTGCTTGGATTAAGCAACCATTTCTTACACTTACGTTAGTCAAATAAAAGAGTATGTGACATTTAACTTAACGAAGGAGAAGTTTGTTTTCGCGAAAAATATCCGATTTTTTAATTTAATGTTTTCTCGGCGTTTCAAGTCATTCTGACCCGAATGAGGCCAAATTTGCAATAAATATGTGTGTGTGTATGTATGCAAGCCGATTTTTGACTTTTCGCCGACGATCTTTCAAAAATAGGTGAACCGCGGATTCGAAGTTATCTCAATACGACCGTTGTCAATTTTGCGCGACGATCGGCTAAGCCGCTTTTTTGCTGTAATTAGCAAAAGAGTGTACTAGTGGGGCGCATGGCATCGTGCCTTAAGGCAAATTGCTGGAACTTTCCGTACCGTAATTAAAAATTCGAGGCATAAAAATAATCAATAAATTGTTTTGAATAACTTCAAATAGATTATTTGTTATAAATACATACTGGAAATTTATATTTTTTTTCAGTCGCTTATTGAGCGACGAGCGTATTCTACAAACAACTTATGTGTATGCTTACAAGTAATTTCTTAAATTTTTTTAAGTTTGATTTGTTTGATAAATTTGAAATTTTTTGGATTTTTTTTTTCAATTTGAAATTTATTGAAAATATCTGATTTTTTTAATATCTGATTTGAAAATTTTGATTTCTTTTGAGAATTTTTGAAACTACGAAATTTTTTGTAAAACCATTTTTTGCACACCATCTACACAAGCAAAAGTTTTTTTGAATTAATCTGATGACCATTTTTACACCCTTGGCGTACCATAACTCCGGAGTACCAATTTTATTTTCAATAATACAAATCGGTTATTCCATACTGTCGAAATTGTCGAGGATATTTGTTTGAACCATATAAATAATCTTAAAATTAAAAATATTGGTACGGAACCAAAAAAAATGATACAAAATGTGTACACATTATTAAAATATCTATGAAATATGCGATAATTTGATGTGAATATTATATGTCTAATGAACATTTTTGACCGCCAAATGGCTTTTTTAACTTTTTTTTTATTGAGAGTTTCTAACCGCTGGACCTGCCTTTCCAAAAATTTAAATAGTTCTTTGTTTAGTCACAATTTTTTATAAATTAAAAAATCAAAAACTCTTCAAAAGAAATTGATTTTTATTGACGTTTGGGGTTTCGCCATGGTATTGAACGATTTTAATCGGAATTTAGGCCGGTTTTGTTTTGTAGGTAGCTACTGATTACAGTTGATGTCTACACTTAAATAAAATACATTTTTAGAACAATAAATAGATAAAATGAAATGTGTTACATATTAATCAATTATTAATTAATACAATTTCAGATATTATATGTTGAAAACGAGAATGTTGTTTTTGAAATTAGCAGTTGCAATAGTTGCATAATTAATCTGAATAGATGAATCTCTATCTGTGTTAACATCTCGTAGGGTAAATCATAGAAATTGTAAAAAAATCGAAATTTGGATGCAGTTAAGTCTCTATGCAGTTAAAGCAGTACGATTGCTTCGAAAGAAAAGTTTAGAATTTCCAAAATATTTCAAAATAAATTTTTCTTCAAAAAGTCTTTTTTTTGAAAAAAGTAAATTTTTGTCAAAAATTTATAGTTTCTCAAAAATTTTTTCAGAATTTTTTTTTTTCAAAAATGTTAATCTTTTTTAAAAAAAATAATTTTTGGTACGGGAAGTTCAAGCAATTTGCTTTGGCTCACGATGCCATGCACCACATAGCTGATTAAGTTATTATGTATACGTATCGGGAAGTTCATGTTACTTGTCTTATTATTAAGGCAAAATGTTACTTTTGAGTTATTGGGTTTTTTAACAATATATTAATTGTTTCTAAAGTTGAAAAATATAAGCACCTTTTATAAAATATACTGTTGCAGAAAATGTTTATCGTAATATTTACACGCAATAATACATTAATTCTCACAAGTAGTTATGTCATTTTCACCAACAGCAAATCAATTACCGCGCAGGCGCCCTTTTAGGATGTTCATGAAATGTATTTTACAAGAACACAGACACGTATGAAGCAACATGTTGATTCAGTAATCCAAAAACAGAAAATCAAAATACTTGTTTATATTAATTATTTCGTCGTTTTATTCATTCAGTTCTGAATATTAAGATGATAACCGTTGATAAAGCCATCACGCCTAAGGGTGGAATACTTGGGAGTGAGTACAACATATTTATTTGTTAATATTGTATTATAATAATAATTAGTTAAATAACATTGTTTTTATTTTAATGTTATGTATTTATAGTGTGTTCGATATTGATTAAAATGTGCAATTGTCGTAAATCTTCTAACGGGCATTAGGATTCTCAGCATGAATCCTAAATAAGCCAAGACCACCTGTTGTTTTGTTGACGTCATTGCATTTTGACTTCATTAAATGAAAATTCGTTTATAATTAACCTTAAAACGTTTTATGTTAAATTAAATGAATCATACAAGGATTGTTTAAATAAATGGTTGTGTGATTTTAAATTCCCGAAGTATTAGTTTATGATTTAGATGTAAAATCTAAATTGTTAATTTTGTTTTCTTTATGTTTCAAGGCATTCTGAATCGTTTGACACCAATATTGGAAAAGCATGTTTTTGTATGTATCTGAGCCGTACTTGTTGTTTTTTTAAGTAATTTTTTATAATATTTGCATCATTTTGAAGTAAAACTTCTTTAGGCGCAACTAGGGTGTAAATCCGTACAAATGCAACGGAAGTCCGTTACGCACGAACGGTCCGTCGTTCGCTCTCGATAAGATCATTTCTATACGGGTCGATTGTGATTAGTCGTCGTGTATGTAAATGGAGATCTGTCGTTGTATGCGTAACGGCATCAACGTTGTATGCGTACTGATATCAACAAGGAAATCGGCATAGATAAATGAACATTTTACATCGTAGTACAAATCTTGATTTAATGAAAAATACCTAAATCAGAAGAATATTTTACCCTGTTCCTTGAAAATAATAAAACAAATTAATCATTTGGGCCGTGTACTAAACGTAAGTTTATTGATTAGACATTATTTCAATATTATTCGTAGTTTCTATAAATCTCTGAAGTCATTAAAATGGAAAATATTTTTAGGCAATACAGATATTACAGTTGTTTAAAGAATGAGATTATATCGCCAGAAAAAAGTAAAAAAAATACAAGCAGTCATTAAATGTATGTTACTTTAAATTACGTGAAGTTCTTCAAACGTAATTATTACATGATGAGTGAAGTTGCGAAAACAATATTTGTTTAGGCGTTGTTTAACATAATCCACTATGTGAACGAATTATATAGAATTTATTAATCAGCAACTACTTTATTTCTCTAATAAAGGTTCGTTTCTAAATGCTAATCACAATGACAAACCGATCATATCATATTAGAAGTATGACTTTAATTACATTATTGTTTTTAAATATTATACACATTTTTAATGTTATTATAAATATATAATTTATGCCATCTTGTACAGTAGCAATTAAGTTTTACTTCAATCGCGTGTGAACCTTACGCGCACTCTTTTTTTGATCACGCATTCTTCAAAATTCTTAAACACGTCTTAAAATTTCAAAATCTACAGTTGGGAATCGTGCAGATTGAACGATAAAAATGTATTAAATACAATTTGGTAAAATTTGGAATAATGGTTTGTATGAAAATTTTAAAATTTTATCGAGACTTTTGTTTTTTGATTTTTGTTTAATCTCAATTTTTAATGAAAATTTAGTATTCACACATATCGAGAAAAATTTATTTGTCATGAGATCAACTGCCACTTACATCTATGTTAATAATTGGATTTATGATATCAATATAAATTATTTATATACTGTATTTTATATACTCATATAAACATTCACATTTTTATTAAAGAAATATGAAAGGTTATAAAATTAATATTAGAAAATATCAAATCAATCACAAACTCATCGATTTAATAGCTTGCATTTGCAATATATAATTTGCATTACATTAGGTTGGCAGCTAAGTTGGTGCGGCTTAATTAAAATTTTTAATCCGAATTGAATTGAACGTAGTCTAAATGTTAAATACCTTTTACTATTAGATAGTTGAAAATTCAGCTATCAATACGTAAGAAGAAGTTTTTTAACCGATTGCACAGTTTTTGATAGTTCATGACAAGAGCCTGAAATAGTATGTTATTATTGATTACGGCTTGCGTATGAATAAATAAATAAATTGATTGGAGTTCATTAAAAGCCGAAAAATTAATTTTTTTTTGCTCTATTTTGCTTCTTAATTTCTGCAATGATAAAAAGGCATTTTAAACTCACAAAAGTTATGCGCTGTTTATGGGATGAGTTAAAACGGCTATAATTAGTTAATATTGGTTTGCCCAATTTCGTTCTGGTGATTTTTCACTCAAAGGTGAAAACCGCTCTGGTCCTCCAGTTGAAGTTGATTACAAAGAATTTGTGAGGTGACCATATTTTTTCAAGTTAAAACCGCGACGGTAATTTATAGTTATGCTAATCCGAGACGTGGGGGAAGGTGTGAATGCTAAAAAATTTAACCCTTTCCACTCGAATCTCGATTTTCGAGATTTATATGGATTTTGCCGTCGGCATTCGAGTCAGAAGAGCTAATATGATTTTGAAATAACATGAGTCTTTTTTTTAAATCAGAATTGACGAAGAACTTCATTATTCGGTTATATGTTACGTTTTATCTTATATTTTTGGATTTATGTTGTTTCAACTTTCTAACTTATAAAATTTTGTTCAATTTTTTTCATAACTATTTACTTAGCAATTATTCCAGGAGGTCAAAAAGTTAATTTTCATAATTTTTGTTAATTTTCGAAAAATTGAAAGTAGAAGTTGAAAGTTATGAATGTGAGAAGTTATTTATATCTATCTTTTTTATATATTACATTTAATATATAATATATATATATCTTATATTTTTGGTTTTATATGTTGTTTCAACTTTCAAACTTATTATAAAATTTTGTTTAACTTTTTTCATAACTATTTAAAAATACTTAGCAATTATTGAAGAAGTTAATTTTCATAATTTTTGTTAATTATCGTAAAATTGAAAATAGAAGTTGAAAATTATGAATGTGAGAGGTTATCTTTATCTATCTTTTTATATAAGCATACTAGTTGTGAATAACATTTTCAAATATTTGATGGATAGTTGTAATTTTATCATTGAGTAAGAGCAAAGATTCAATTTAAACCTACACTTTTCAAAAATCCGGTACAAGCCGGGACAAATATTGCTTTAAGAAAAACTTGGGACACAAGGTGGAAATCCGGGACTGTCCCGGCCAAACCGGGACGTATGGTTCCCTTACAAAAGGCATTTGATGCATTATTGAATAAGGATATTTATTCCATGAAAAATGTCTAATTTTAAAACTGAAATTCTCACTCACGCAGTTGCATACCTAATATATTGCCTTATTAAGGGGTTAGGGGTACTTGGACGTACGAAAAAATGAGAGTTTTCAGTATTGTTTTTTTGTTATTAAACGATGTTTTTTTACAAAAATATAAATACGGCATCATTATACAATGTTTTGACTTGAAGTAGCAAAAATTTCAGAAAAAAAAAAATCCTAAAGTTATAGCTGTTTTTGTTTCAAAAAACGGTCCTGGCGGTGACTATCATAACTCCTTAGAGATTCATCCAAAGTCAATCAAATAAAAAAAAATAGTTTTATAAATAGATAATCCTGGGCCTGATCGAAGGTTTTCTTTTTTCTGCAAAAATTAACAAAATGGCAGCATCAGAAATAAAATTTCTAGATTTTTGGGTAAAAAATCAACAGTTAATTTGTCTTAAAAAATTGAAATTTTTGAAAAAATAAAAATCCTTCATCAGGCCCGAGTTTATTATGCATTCTAAAAGCTGTAAATATACTAAGCGGTTTTTGAGTTACAGTGGTCACCGTTTCAAAAAACATAGTTTTGAGAAAAACAAGTTAAAGTTTCACATTGGATTTACGTACAGAAATTCGAATTATTGAATTACTTAAACCGAGTCATCTATTTGTGGGCCAAATAATAGTTCATCAGTCATTGTGCAAGTTTCCAAAATTTCCATTTGCTGTTGCCTACGAAGCATTCTGGCCTCCCGAGTGTTCTCGTTGGCGCGCTGATCTGTCACTTTTACACGTGCAGCATCCAATTTTTCAGCATACCAATGGGAATTACACCCACAATTAGGTCCTAGGGCATCCATAATCAATAATAATGATTATGTATATGTATTCAGTAATTTGTACGATAGTAGAACTAGTATTCACGGTTTTTAGGCATATTTTTTACACTAGTTGGTTGATACTTTTAATTTTTCTGATTATGGATTCAATCTTGAACTACACATCTTGAAAGTAAATTATCATTGCTGAGATTGTCGTAAATCGGTTTAAAAGCTTTTAAAACATCAGGAGGTGAGGGAGAATAATCTTGAGTATAAGTATCGAGCTCTCCACTTGCGTCAACGCGCTGGTAAGAGTCCAATAACTCAAAAAGTAATCATCGGATCAACTTGAAATTTTCAGAGAACATTTTCAAGATATTACACTTAATGCAAATGCAAAAAAATAAAAATCGATTTTTCAAAAATTCCAAGTACCCCTAACCCCTTAAGTAAATTATTTGTTGATTTAATCCGAGTTTTGTTTATATGTTTTTCAATATGGCAGGATTTGTGCCAGCTCGATACCTTTTGGCTGCACTCGGATCAACCGGTTTGGCGATAGTTTACGGTTTGAAAGTAAACTTATCAGTTGCTATGGTTGTGATGCTCAACCACACAGCCTTAGGTCACGGAGTAAACTCAATTCACCATTCTGATGATGAAAACACTTGCCGACCAGACCAGAACTCAACTACAACTGAGGTGAGTATTGAATAAAAATATTTATACAAGATGGTGTAACATTATATGTTATGTCTTCTTTTAAAGGATGGTCCATTTATATGGAGTGAACCGCTACAAGGGGCAATATTGAGTTGTTATTTCTGGGGTTACTTTGCTTCACAACTACCAGGTAATTGTGATACATAACTTACTTGTTAGTAAACCATCGGGAATAAAATAATACTTGACATGATTATTCTGTAAATTTTTTTAATTGGTTTTTATAAAGTCGCTGGAATAGGTTTATTAACACTAATCATACCAAAGGGGGTTCAAATGACCCGTTTTGAACTTTAAATAGGAATAGCATTTATAATTTTATTGTTTTTAGAAATTGAACGTTCGAAACTTCTCGTACTAATAAATATAATTTTAGAATAGTATTAATTATTTTCTTTTTTGGTTATTTTGAGTAATATTCAATGTATTCCGCTATATACCACTACGCCGAGTCATTTGACCCACAGAGCATTTTATTATAAGCTTTTGTTCTGTTTTATTTCAGCAAAAAAGACCGTTGTGAATAGTAGTTTAATCAAAATAGTCAAAATTAATTTACAAAAAATATCAAAATTTTAGACAGTACAGAGCTTCCAGTAACATTTTTTTGAAAACGTATTAAGAATTGTTTTCTTTGGAAAGTAAACTTTACATAAAAAATGTCGTACAAAATAAGTCAGTATATGCTTTTTGAAGATATAAATAATATTATAAAAGTAAAGATAGTACGGTACTATACTATTAGGTACTATTAGTACCTATTGGATTTTCAGTGATAATTGATGATCGTATTATTAATCATTTAAGATTATTCGCAGTAAGTGAATGCTAAAAAATTTAACACTTTCCACTCGCGAATTCCGAGATTTATATGAACGGCGGCATCCGAGTCGAAAGGGTTAATATGATTTTGAAATAACATGAGTAACTTTTTTCTAAATCAGAATTACTGACAAAGAATTTCATTATTCGGTTATATGTTTCGTTATATATTATATTTTTGTATTTATGTTGTTTCATTTTTCAAACTTATTATAAAATTTTGTTCAATTTTTTTCATAGCTATTCAAAGAAAATACTAGGATAGCACTAAAATTTATTTCGAGAAAAAATAAATGCATTTTTTGCAATCTTATATGTAAGCCTAATTAGCTATAAAATAACATTTGCGGCCCATTTTTTATAAAATTGTAAGTCAAACAAATTCAATTATATTACTAGTTTTATGTGATTTAAAAATACGCAAATTTGCTACGATTTTGTAATTTTTATAGAAAATTTTTAAAATTGTTTTTTCCCTAGTATGTATTACTATTGATGACCAGCTATAATATGTACATTGAACTCACTTCGATGTAAAAATATGATGAGCAATGACTTAAAAAATCGTGTTTATTACTTTTATGAAAGAAACTAAGTTCATTAATTATAATTATTGTATTTTCAAATTTATTTCCAATGTAACTTTCAAATTTTATATACTCAAGCAAGTCGGGTCTTTTGACCCGCTATGGTAGGAATAGATATACGAAAAGCGGCGGTACGATTAGTGTTAAAGAAATAATAAATATAATCATGATAAACCAAAATGCATGAGCAGTTGAGACATCATCTTATTTTAAGATTGGTAGTTTGTTTAAATATCAAAATTTGATCAATCCTTCACTTCTGATGTTCGTTAAATTGAAAAAGTCATTAGACTGACAAGTTCGTAATCTTAATATCAGTAAAGTTTACTTCAGTGGACATTCAAAATAAAAAAAGCGTTTTTTTGTCAAGGTGGACGAATAGCTGAAGTGGCTTCAGCTAAATGGGTAATGTTCTTCAGTGTCGCAATAAACGTTGCTTGTACTCTGTTGACACCGATAATGGCCGACTTCCATTATTTTGCTGTGATACTCATGCGTATTGCTGAAGGAATTGGTGGCGTAAGTAATTGTTCTAGTAAAGTAATACTATTATTTCTAAAATAAAAAAAACTATTGTAATCTCTAAGGTTCCACACAAAATTAAGTGATGTCAGTGTTGATTTGTAAAAATATTTTAAATATTTTTTCTAAAGTCCTATTACCAATTTATAATTCACATTATTTATATATATTTATATATATATTTATATATATTTTTTTTATTTTATTTTCATTCTGCAATCTATAAAAATAATTAAATTTAGCAGAGAATGCTGACAAGTTGTTTACAATTGATTGTTTACAAATTAGTAGATACGCCCAGTGGTGTATCTACAATAGTTAATATATAAAAAAGAACTAAAGACAAATATGGAGAAATATATATATATATATATATATATATATATAACAAATGTATTTTGAGTGGATATAGATACTAATTTGGAAATATGAACAAACAACACTCTTCTTTGCACTATTTTATTTAATAATAATTTTCACAAACGTTTCGAGACTAGGTTTGTCTCATCATTTGTGTTATAATTTAAAATTTAAAATATGGAAACTTAAATTAGCATTATGTGTTTTCCGTTACACGTTGTTCGAAATACTGGAGCAACGTGTAACGGAAAACACATAATGCTAATTTATTTAATGTAGCCAAAGGTACCAGATTGATGAAAACACTGTTGCAAATCAGAGTCCTTTCATTTTACTATTATAAAAATATTTACACCCTTATTAAATTATTAACTTCCCGAAGAAGTTTGTTTTTATTAAAAAATCCGATTCGCTAATTTTATGTTTTTTCGACGTCTCAAGTCATTCTGAATCGAATGAGACCAAAGGAAAAAGTATGTATGTATGTGTGAACAGATTTTTTTGCCGTAAATCGACGTTTTCTCAAAAATGGCTGGAATGATCTGAAAAATTTAAAAGCCATTCGATGTATCTCGATGAGGACTATAGCGTTTATCATTTTTGCGCGACGATCCGCCAAGCCGCTTCTTTATATATAAATAGCAGGAAAGTGAAAAATGTTTCGCCGACGTTTCAGCTCTTAATTCTGAATCGATTTCTAATAATCAAAAACTTTTCGGAAGATATGGGTTGGGAATGTCCTGAATAGTTTTAGCTAAAAATCTACCGAGTCGTTTTCTTGAAATTAACTGTTGAAAAAAAACTTTTTTTGGCAATAGATATCATAGTCTTGTAAAATATACTAAAATGTTACGGCCCTGCGACAAATAGTTTGATGTTAAAAATTCATCAAAGTTTGAGAAAATATTGTATCAAAAGTTGCTTCTGTGTTGTGATGAGTCAAACATTATCAATTCATTAAAATTTAAAATAATAAGCTACAATTTTAGGACATACAAAAAAGAACGCATTTGTGCAATATAATTAATATATTTACAGTTAATTTAAATGTGTTTGAGAAAATTCTATTCAAATCGCAATGTTTAAATTTAATTGAAAGCGATAACTTTATTTTTGAAATAAACAGTTGAAAATTTTATCTAAATATCTAAATTTCAATTTCGATTGATTAAGTGAATTCTTACACATTTCGGGAAGTTCATGCAACTTGCCTTAAGGCCACTTTCAACTAGTTTTATTTTTAGGGTTATTTAATTCAGGTCAATTATTATTTTCTGTTCTACTAAATTATATAAAATAAAATTATAATAATTAAAAATAAATTTTATAAAACTTTTTCTTCGAATCATTCGAGTAAATAGTTTTTCTTATAAAATCTCTAAACTGGTTAAAACCATTTTTATGAAAAAAGTGGAGACTGGGTACGGTTGTGTCAATTTTTTTTGATCAGTAATATTCTTGTTAATTTACCAGTTAGCTGGAAAAAAGTAAATTAAATGGTAATTTCAACATTTATCTACGTGGAAATTCTGGAATGCTGTCCTTAAATACGATAAATTAGTCACAAAATCAAATCATACAAAAAATGGCGAGTGTCAGAAACATATTTTTTAAACAAAGTTAACAAGAAATAAGCTGAACTATGCGATCTCTTTTCTCATTTTTACAATGAATAAGTTATCATCGTGACTAGTGTTGTTATATTTTTTTTTATATTTTAGTCAAAAATTCTAACCAGAAATCGCATGTTTCTTGGAACTTGATCATTCCACAAATCAGACAGAAACTTTTTTTCTTGTATTGCTTTCTTCTTATCCTTTTTTTTATATTTTGTCTTGGTTTAGCTAGATTTTTCTTTACATGATCTACTTTACAACCGAAAGACTTAAAAAACATGTCACAACCGTACCCACAAAATTTGTCACCGCCGTACCCAACGCACACTTTTGAAATCATCGTTACGACCGAGCTAAATTATCTACGCAAAAACTTATTGCTGGTAATTAACTACTAATACTCAATTTATAGCAAAATAACAAATGTAATCTATCTGACACAAGTAACAATTATTATTAAAAGAATTTAAACAAAACTCACTTTGTACTATTTAAAAGCAATGCAGTTTAAGCAATAATGGAAACTTGGTCGAACAAATATACTTCATCTTTTATCCTTTAGGGTCAATCTCAGTATAGTTTTGCTGTTATTAGGACTGTCCACTTCGAAAAATGTTTCTCTAAAATGAAAGTTTTTGTATAAACCCTACTTAACACATAGTAAATTGAATTTATTTGGTGACCTTGGTCTATGATTTAATTTTATATTTCAATTTACAATTTAAAATTTATATTATATTTTGGTATCATATTATATGTTATTGAGTAATTAACGTTGTTATTTGATAGCGAGTTATAAAAGCCTCAGATTTAATTGGTCCGCATTTGAATTAAACCTTACATCACTAAATTTGAATATCATGCTATATATTAAAATTGTAAAATGAAACCATATGTTTACGTTTCATGAATTTATTTACGGGATATTATAACTTGGCTATTTCGGATTTACATTGTTTCTCTTTTAAATTTTAAACCAAAAAATACAAAAAATATGAATGGAAAATCAAAATGAAAAATGGAAGCTAACTCAAATCAATAAAATTTTTTTTAGTTATTAAACCAATTAGCAACATATATATTTATAAATAAATATATTATTGTTGCACTGAGCGCCGGAAAACTCTGGATGCCCGTCTTGCTTCATCATCGGGGACTTTGGCATCTAAAAGTCTTTTTGTGGCATCTGTTGGTGCAATCTTGGCTTCTTTGGCAACTTCAGTCGCAAAGTTCAAGAATTCATAGTAACCCAAAGCCGTCTCGTTATATTTTTTAAAGCTGGAAAATATAAGAATTGTTACACCATTATGTAAAAAATGATCGTGAAAATCATCATTAAATTACTAAATTCCCGTAGAGTAAGCTACAGTTATCGTAAAAAATCGAAAATAACTAGTGGAGCGCATGGCATCGTGCCTTATGGCAAACTGCTGGAACTTCCCGTACCGTAATTAAACATTCGAGGAATGAAAATAATCAATAATTGTTTTGAATAATTTCAAATAGATTATTTATAGCATACTGTAAACTTATAAGTTCTTTTTAAATTGGGCGACTAGCGTATTTTATGAACAACTTATGTGTACGTTTACAGGAGTCCATTTTTTTTTAAAATTTGATTATTTTGATAATTTAGAATTTTTTTCAAAATTTTGAAATTTTTTAAAAGGTTGAAATTTCTTGGAATTGAAAAAAAAGGTTTTTTCTAAATATTTTGAGAATTTGGAAACTTTTGAAAATATTCGATTTTTTTTGAAATTATCGAATTTTTGTAAGAAATCTTTTTTTTTATTTTTTCAAAATTCAGTTTTTATTTGAAAATGATGAAAAATTTAGAAAGTTTGTTTTTTTTTGAAAATTTTGATTTTTTTTTTAAATTTTTCAAAATTATTAAATTTTCTGTAAATGCATTTTTTGCACACGCAAAAAGTTTTTCAAGCAAAATGTTTTTTGAATTACATAACCGTTTTCACACCCTTTGCGCACCATACTTCCGAAACGGCAAAACTGCTTTCTGCAAAAACCCCTCGCGATCGAGTACGAATCGATTTTTCAATTTTATAAATCGGTTATTCCATACTGTCGAGAATATCGAGACATTTGTTTGAACTATATAAATAAACTTCAAAATTAAAAATCTTGGTACGGAACTCAAAAAAATTTACACAAAATGTGTACACAATATTAAAATCTCTATAAAATATCTGATAATATGATGTACATATGTCCAATAAACATTTTTGACCGCCAAATGGCATTTTTTAAACTTATTTTTATTGAGAGTCTATAACCGCTAGACCTGCCTTCCCCAAAATTTTGTATAGAAATGATATCATCGAGAGCGAATGACGAATCATTGGCACTCGAACTTGCCGTAACGCACTTCCGTTGCATTTGTACGGATTTACACCTCATTCGCGTCTAAAGAAGTTTTACTTCAAAAAGAAAAACTTACATTTCGCCAACTCGCTCTGTATTTGGCAGTTCCTGGTATATCCGCGCTTGTTTAAGCCAGATTTCTGCTTGGTGAAAAGTCAGATTATTTGGGGATGATTTCTCATCACCTAGTTGAGCATATTCCTAATTAAAATATTAGAACCAATTAACAAATGTTTACTCAAAGTATTCCTGATTTTAAATGATTACAACCAATAATCTGTTTACCTTAAATAACGTTTTCATGCTCAGTAATTTAATGGACTTTTGGGTAGCCATGTTAATAATATATTCTGTTAAATTTTGAAAATTTTACGGTAAATTGAAACAATGTTTATACTAAAATTTGAGTGGAAAATGTATTGTGTAATTTTGTTTTATTAAGTTTTGTTTCGCTTACATCAATCTATGGTAAAACGATTGACATTTTAAGTGAAGTTTTAGGCGCAATATTCAAATATTTGAATGTGTATATCGTGCAAATTTTAAGTGTTTGATTAATATTATTATTATTTTAATTATATATATACAGTGGTGTTGTGCTAATATTTTTTTGCCGGAACGCTAGAATTTAAAAACCGGTTC